GTAAGTAAGCATTCTCAATCCTGCTTAAATAGTCGGCACTTATATTTTCTTTACCTTTATTGTTATAATGCGGTAGCTAAATGATTGAAAATATACGGCCCACCGCATTAACCTACTGTTTACTTGTTTAAATAAATTAGTGGCTGGTGATTCGTCTCCAAAATAAATTCTTTACCATACAAATATTGGTGAATTTCAATTTCAATTACAGAAGATGACTTCTTTATAGCTGGTAATATACGACTGGCATATACCACTGAAAATTTACCTTACTCGTAATGTTGCAATACTAATGCACCAAATCCAATTTCTGATGCATTGCATCTCTTAAAAAAATCAAGCAACCTTAATATTTGTTGCTTACTCAATAAAACTTTCAAGTGATTAAAGGCACGCAAGTCTCACAGAATGATGATTGAAGCCTGTATCAATTGTCTCATTTCGTAGCAGCAACACAGAGAGTGTTTAATTAAAATTGTGAATGCCAACTGTCCTCGATCTAGCCTATTTATAGAACATCCGTAAATATAGGGTTTTCACTCGAGTTTTCAGTAGTTTTTCAAACCTTTAACTGCAGGGTTGGATACGACAAACAGTTAGGTTAAATTTCCTATCAAATCTGTTAACTTTCCAAACACTTTTCACAACTTTGTATGGTGTTTCTTCAGGGTGACTGCATCTTTGAGTAGAACATGTGTGCCAAATTTCTATCACAATGTAACAATTAGTTGTGCTTATCTGTTGGGCTAATACAGGTATTTAGTTTATAAGCGGGGTTGTATTAAATCATGACTTATTCTACAATGGGGTGTGACTTTTGACCCACACATCTTTACTAAACTGAACGTCCGGTGAATCCCACACCCCTGCTTCCATCCCTATAATTATACCGAATTTGTTTGATTACTGCAGTTGTTTGTTTGAGTTTCTAATATCATAAATTACAGTGTTGCTCACAAATCATAGGCAAGGTGATCAATAGTTTCACTATGTTTCTCACTAATCTTATTTGCTTGTAAGTAACATTATCGATGTTTTTTTTTCTCCGATTAATAACACATTTTCTGTGTCATTAGTCTCAATTTGGAACGACCAGCGCCGTATTATTGACACTGAAAGCATATTATAAATCAAGTTGTACATTAAATCATTTGTAAGCGAGAACAGGTGACCACATGGTAACGTCCGAATCACCAGAGGGCGCCATCTATTGAAATCCTTTTTTTCTCCGAATAATAAAACATTTCTTTTGTCATTAGTATTCATAACGACCTTCTCCAAAATGTGGACATTCAAAGCATAGCATATACGCTCTATAGTGATGTTGTATATTAAATCATGCGAAAAAAGACGATTGCGGGGTAGTGTCTGGTTCACCAGAGAGCGCCATCTAGTTTTTTCAAGCGAACCTCAAAGATTACGGTGCAGGACGACAACTTAATAAGGGACCCTGGGCGATATATCAAGAACATTGCAGTCCGGCGGCCTCTCACTGGTGAATTTATGCGTCATTTCCCATAAAAGTATGCGACGTGCGACAGGATATGGCGAGTACCCGACCCTTGGTATCTACATTCAAACAAAAAAATTACAAAATCCCAGCCATTGCCGTTTAACATGGCACCCATAAGCATGTCTAAAGTAGTCAATGTTTCACCACAATTCACTTAGTGTCTTATTACGGTCATCCACACTGACAAACTGTCTAACTTCACATTTTTTTCTTTTAGCCCATTGCCTGGGCAGAATACATTTCATTTTTAAATTGTGACTCCAGTTCTATTGAAGTTCCCTGAACTCGGACCCACGTGACCTAATCACGCGAAGTGAAATCGTGTGGAAATAAAAGGTACAGCAGTCACAAGAATGTGCTGCCGGTTTTTATTACTGAAATTATTGATGTTGATACCATCGAGTCTTTTAGTAATAAACGGGGAAATTATGATAAATAACGGTGTTCATTGTTTAAAGGCCCCACTGTATTGAAAAGTTTCGTTGTTTCAATACCGTACTAACATTGGTACTGTGTTCGTCGTGTTCGTGTTCTGGTATGGAATAAATACACTAAAATCACAATTTGTATTTTGTTAATGAGGTAAAGTATATTTCCCGATGATATGAACAAACATGTATCAAGCAGCTATGGTATGCAAGGGCGAGATGTGCAAAATGCGAGATTTTCACAAAATCGCAAGACATCCTGTTGCGAGTTAGCGAGTTTGTGAAAAAATTGATTCGTGTTCACCACAGACCGTTTTGGGAAATGTTCTTTGTTAATCGTAAAGCGTGTAATATCTGCGTTTTGTCAGTTTCAATATGACGATAATCTTGCTCATTTCTGTCTACGCTGCGTTATGTGACTCAAATCACCGCTTATGTTGTGTACTTATGTTTAGGCCTTATATATTTATCAAACCAGTCACATGTTTCGAGCACATCGGTATTTATCGAACTATATAGATGTGCGAGTGAAGATCCTCACGATCATCCAAAGACGGACGCAGAATTTCTGGTTGGAGTGTGATAGGTATTTTTGATGTTTGAAAACCTTTCACTTAGGTAACCGGGATTCGATTGTTCTCCACGCTGGACTCACAAAAAACACGCACAAGCTCTCTTCATGTTCAAAACGACTCTCTACTTGTCCCCGGTTTTCACCCGAGACAGCATTAAATCACTCTTTATTACTTAACTCCTTAACCAATTACAATCAGTATAAGAGACTCCAAGGCCTTGCCTTCAAACAAACAACCAATCACATGAAAGTTTTACACATCATAATCAATTGATTAATCGTCAAGCTATTAAGGAAACCACTATCATATTGTCAACGCCAACTAATATTTATGGGTTTAATAGTCTTGCAATAACATTCCACAAAGATACCGCATGAGTTTAGAATCGCAAACAACATTAGTTTAGGATTACGACCACCGTACTGTAATCTTAAAAAAGTTGCAAACTCACGAGATGTCTCGGCTGATTTCGACTAGTTCGCCATCTGGCGTCATCATTAACCTTTATCAGTAGATGCCATGGCAACCACCATTAAGCCGAAATATAAATCATGACAGGAGGGCGCAAATTTACAATGACGTCATTATCGTTAAATATTGAATATATGTATACAAGTAACGCATGGTCTAGTGGGGGCGCCAGTCATGTGAATTCCCTCTAAATAAGTCCCTGTCGTTACATACAAGTAAAATAAGACTTTATGCCATTCATGGTTTGATGTGAACTTAATTACGTGTAGTTTAGGATGTTTTTATTTGTTAAAAATTGTGTTGTGGGACGAGGTCAGAAATTTCATTGTGTCATGTATATTAGATAATGGAACACATTTCACCCTTGTAAATTCACCATCGGTCTGGTTTAACTTTTAATTAAAATTTAACTGAAACGGGTGGTTGTATTTTAATTTATTGAACACTGGTCAATATACCACAGTTTCGTATCGATATTTGGTAGGGCACCAATGCTAAATGTGTCATTGATCACAGCAACACAATAAAAAGCACGATGACAATGATGGCGACTGTCATAATGGTGATGATGATCCATTTCTTCTGTAACATAAAAACGAGAGAATGAATTTGACGATGAGCAGTGTTAGTATTGTGTAGTGTATTCCATGTGACATATCAATTGGTTATTGCTTAACATTAAAATGTCTAGAATAGTGAAATACTGATAACATATACGCACATGGTCATTGAATTACGAGTACGCACGATTAATAATACAGTTGGACATGTTAATGCTTTCCTCCAATGTAAACTATTCACAGTTGGTTTTCTATATATATGACATGTCAGATTGATGCTTACCCGTCGTGCTTTGCTCTGGTTCTCAACCGCTGATTTTGTTGTAGCTACTGCATGATCCACATACTCCGCGGTTTCTTCCACATTGTGCTCAATATTGTCAATCATCTCTCCCTGTAAACAAGGGTATAATATGTTCTGTTTGGTTTCAAAAGTAAAATCATCATGAAGGCTTTAGAGGTTTGTACAGTTCGTGATAAATCTTATCCACTACGACCGTTAGTGCAGAATAGACTTAGTGCTTAGTGGAGATGTTCTGCATTTAATACAATATGAAACTGCAGTGTTAAGTGTAACGTAAGCTTGTGGTAGACTAGTAATTATTGTGAAGGTACAAACAACACAATTGTATGCATCGGGTCTATTCATAATGCGCAAAATGTCCGTGAAATTTCGACCTTTCGAGTTGATCTCTGTGAATATTTGAAAGTCCGAAGTAAACAAAAAAAACATGGAAAGCCGAATTAGTTTTGGAATTGACAAGATGCAATTGAAAATGAGCAACGGATTACTGATTAACGCTATTTGGGGATTTTGAATGGAAATATGTTCGTTAACTCCTCATTCAGGTTTTTTGTTGTTGTGTGTACTTGACAGAAATTCTCGTCCAGTGAAATATCAAGAATGCGTAGTGATTTTAATAAATTTCCCGCAATTGTATTAGCGAAAACGGTGTTGTTAAACCACTATCAACGTGCTCGCCCTCAGTCACTGTTGCCTGAGAATAATGGTATAGAATGACAGGTAACTATTAATCGCCATATTGTTCCACTGGGCCAGGATTCCGGCCCGAAGGCACGTGCTGAGTGAAAACATTCCAAGTTCCGTTCTACGTAAACGTGTCTGTGATACTACAATAATGCCGTGTCCATTCATTCCGCCTGCTTATACTTCAAACTTGAGTCTGTTCTAGCCTTTTTCACTATTTTCGTGCAAAGTGACAAAAACCGAAACTGTCTTATATTTGTGAAGTCAAATGGAAGTCACTACTCTATATATAGAAATACCTCGATCGTAAGCGCTGATGTCAGGTAACCAAGAGAAATAGCAAAAAAAATGAGAACGTGATCAACCCATTCATTACTAGTTACCGGCCTCTTGTAGCTTGGTGCGCTATGTTGAGAACCAACCAACACGTGACTCACCTGCTGTTCAACCATCATCGCCATATCTAAAAACATCTCATGAAGCTCTTTGATACTTTGTTCAAGCTTCATCAATTCGTCGTACCTCGTTTCGATGTCACCCAGCGCTTGCTTAGTCTGTTGCGTATCTGCGATTATCTACAAAAAAGCCATGCGTTAAAAAACAAAGGCAAGTAATTTATTTCAAAAAAAGTTATGTTCCTGGTGTTGGCCGATATTTTTTACTTGCAAGTATTTAGCCACGGAAAAGCGCCCTCTGTCGGTGAATTGATGTAACTTACAAAATGTGTCCTTGTCAACTATTTTAGCAAACAAAAATCGCCTTACCGCCTCACCTTCCTAGCGTACATACTGTTTTGATCAAACGACATTGCTTTTACCATCTATATCGCTTTAACGTCACAAAAGCTCCTCATCGCCAGAGGGCGCGATTCATAGTAACGATGTATTATGGGTAACTTACACTGGAAGTAAATATTGCTGCGTTTCCCTTTTCTAGCATTCCTTCGATTTCTTCATCGGTTGTACTTTGACCAGCTGTGAGCAACAATAAAAAATCAACACTAAAAATGTGGTGCGGGTTTCACGAAGGGAATTATTGAAGCGAGGAAGTCGTCAGATGGCCATAGCGTATCATTGTTTACAAACAACCGCTTAGTCGCTTGGGACTCAATTCCCGCGCATGCGCAGGTGACGACCCTCCCGCTTTAAATGACACGAACAAATGATGGAAGTTAAGCTTACTTATTTCGAGTTGTCTATGTATACGTCCTTTGCATTTCTCACGATACTCGACCTGAGAGTTACCATACTCTGTCATCACTTGTAAAAATGAATAATGAAGAGACGAGTGCTGCGAAGAACAATTATGAGAGAAATGCCGGGATTGAACTTTAGTGACAATAGTGGTCCACACTTGTATACAGTCAACAGTAGAGGGCGTATTGTTCTCGTGCAAACATAGTCTGGTCCCCTGAAAATTTTCTTAACCGCCCTCAGCTTTGAAATTGGGGCAGGGGACGTTGTTATGATTTGAGAGAGCAACCCTGGTGGGAGACACTTTAGGTGTTTAATTAAATTTCGTTTTTCGTGGATATTACAAAATACATTTGTGTCAGGCAAATTAAAAACATTCAGTGATTACCTGGTTCTTACGAATCCTAAGATCAGCTGGTGATTTCAAATTGTGCTGTAATTTATCTTCTTCTATGCTTTTTTCGATTTCTAAATACCACACAAAATAAAGAAAATTAATATAAAGTATCACTTTAAATAATGGTCCACACGCTTCTTCATTTTCACTGACAGATGTCATAGAAATAATAAAATGTGCTTATCCATCATAAATAAAACAAAAATGCATACAAGTCAAGTGAGTCAACCATAATGCACTACGTGCGGATGTGAAGTGACGTCACTTCCTTCCAAATCGCATGACTGAATAACTGCAAACCGCAGCTTGATCTCAAAACTTGCGTTTGGTTTTCTGTATTATCTATTGCATTTTAATGCATCTGATCGAAATTATTGAGGATCGTACAAATGATGGTACACGTTATAAAAAAAATATATGATACTTTACTCCAATAACTGTACGCCGTCCATTCATATACCTAGGTAAATATTCCAACTTACCTTTCAGGTTCGCCTTCACTTTATTTGACACTGCTTTTACTTCTTTCATGGTACGATCAACTTCTTTCTGGTCTTCTGCAATGAAAAAAAAACGACTGCACGATTATGTTTAGGGTGGTTATAACAAAAAGGAGATAGCAGTGTTTTTACATGGGTCACGAATACACTTACAATGTTTAAATATCAATATCAGTGTCTACCCCAGAGCTTTAACAGGGTTCTATTGGTAACGTGTGGGAACAGTTTGAAGGCACTAGCTATTCCTCCCTTGGAGTTACATATATGCAAACACATAATGTGACGTTGACCCTTATATATTACATATAATGTACGGACCAGGAAAACACATCAATTACAATCACAGTCAGCTAGCGCACACGTGATAATAAAATAAATGCGATATTTACTGTATGGGGGTTGCCATCTTGAATGCGGCATGAAACTAAATAAGAGACAAGTTTTTCAGACTCCTACAAATGAGGACAAAATGCCAATCTTGCACAAAATACGAGACGGTTGGGGTTATATTAAGCCAGCCGATAACAAAATTCGGCCAAATTCGGCGTTTTGTGCGAAAAAATCCCCAAATACTAACAACTGATCACACGAAGTACATGGAATACTTTCCTGGGGTATTTGAAACCAAACATTGTCATTCCAGCTCATCAGCCAATTAGCGACGGCCATACAG